AGGGAGGTGAGGCTGCCCTGCAACCCTGGAGTGGGGTTGCACCCAGGCTGGATTCCAGCATTCCAGGATGGTTACCAGAGCATGTTCAAAGAAAGGTAACGGAGCTGAGGAAGGGTCTGGAGCACAAGTCTGATAAGGATTGACTGAGGGAGCTGGAGGGGCTCAGCCTGGAGAAAAAGAGGCTCAGGGGCAACACTTTTGCTTTCTACAACTCCCTAGAAGGAGGTTGTAGCCATGTGGGGGTCAGGCTCTGTTCCCAAGGAACAAGCGATAGGACAAGAGGACATGGCCTCAAAGTTGTGTTTAGATTGGATACTAGGGAAAATTTCTTCACCAAAAGGGTGGTCAGGCATTGGAACAGGTTTCCCAGGGAAGTGGTGGAGTCACCATCCCTGGAAGTGTTCAAAAAACATGTGGATGAGGCACTTGGGACCATGATCTAGTGGTAACATGGCAGTGCTGGGTTAATGGTTGGAGTCGGTGATCTCAGAGGTCTTTCCCAACCTAAACAATTGTAGGATTCTATAATTCTATCTCTGGGCTGGGCTGGATCCCAGCATCCCAAACCTCCTGCCAGCTTGCGCTGCCCTGGCTCCCTGGGGCTCCCTGGGCTGTTTCCAGCCAGCTGACACAGCCCTGAATGCATTTCAGGCACCTCCACAAGCGGGTGAAGCTCCCCGGGGCTGGGGGTGGACAGAGGGATGGATGCAGAGGTGCAGGGACTGATGCCCGTGTGCACAGGTGCCTGATGCACGGCTGGCACAGACACAGGTGCATGGACAGATGCACAGGTGCACAGTGCATGGACAGATGGAGGGACAGCATCCTGCCAGGGCCAGGCAGAGCCGAGGGGTCCCGGTGGTATTTCTGAAGTGGCGAGGGGAAGCAGTGACCCCCGGGGATGTGCCTCGCGTGGGAGCCAGGCCCAGGTGTTCTCACCTGTTGATAAGGTCCTCGTTGCTGTCGCTCTCCATCTCATCCTCAATGGCCGCCTGCAGGTCCCCGATGCGCTTGAAGGCCAGCTTCAGGTCTGACTGCAGGCTCTGGTTGGCAGCTTCCAGGCTCTCCAGGTCCATCTCCTGCGGGGAGGGAGTGGGATGAGCCAGGTACCTCAGGGAACACCCCCCTGCTCCCTGCCTGGCCCTATCACAGGTGCCTCACCAGCTCGTGCTTCTTGCGGCTGGCCTCTGCCTCCTTCTTGGCCAGCTCGCCCATCTCCTCCTTGACATCACGGAGTTGTCGCTGCAGCCGCTTGTTCTGCTCCTTCTCCCGGTTCTCGGCGGCTGCGCGCTGATCCCGCTCCTCCGTCAGCTTCTCCATGTTCTCCTTCAGCCGCGTGGCCAGGCTCTGCAGAGCAGTGGGGTCACCCCCAGATCCCCCCATGGACCCCTCATGGGTCCATGACAACCCCTCATCCTACAGGTCCACCCTCATCCTGCAGATCCACCCCAACACCCACCAAGGGCTGATGAGATGACCTCCCCATGACCCCATCCCCATGAATTTACACAAGGAGATGAAGGAGAAACCACCCCCTCCCAGGGCCAGGGAAGGGGCAGAACAACAGCAAGGGCTTTGTTGAATTGGAAAAATAGATTTAACTGTGTGTGAAGTAATTAAAACATGTAACATAAGAAAAAAATAGCTCCCGTTCTCCCCCATCCACTGAGCCAGCCGCTGCATATTTATGGCCCCGGCAGAGAGAGCGGGGAAGGAAATAATAGCTTGGAAAATATGAAGAGGAGAGCTAAGCTGCCGCGCTCCCCGGCAGAGCTGCGGAGGCAGAATATAAAACAGGCTGTGTTCGTGGGGCCAGGAGTCTATAATTTCCCTAAGTCGATGCAGGGAAAGAGCATCACTTTGCCGGGCCGGGCGGTGGATTACTGTTATCGGTGCTTGCAGGGAGCCTTCCCTGCGGAGACAGGGATGGGCTGCCGGAGGGGGAGGGCTGCAGCGTGGGGGGTCTTGGGGAGGGGATGTGCTCAGCAGACCTCTCGGGCAGCTTCATTACGCTCCTGTTGCATCCTTGTCCCAGGCAGAGCGGAGGGAGAGCCCGGTGCCTACCTCCAGGCGCTTGACTTGCGTCCGCTCGAACTCCAGCCTGGTCTCCAGCTCGCGGATCTTGGCTTCTTGCCGGCTCACCAGCGACTTGTCCACCATGGATTGCTCCAGGAACTCCAGCTGGCTCTGCAGGCCTTGTAGCTGTGGGGGGTGGTGGGGGCACAGCTTCAGCCTCGACCACAACCTCCCTGCCCCCCTGACACGCCGTCCTGGAGCAGAGCTGCTGGCCATTCTGCTCCAATCCCCCGGGACTGCTCTGTGCCCCCACGGTGCATGGTATGGGCAGCAGGTCTCTGGGTGACCCCCATCCCCCTGGCTTCACTCGGGGTGCATCCCCTGTCTGATGTTGGTGATCCCCACCTTCTCCTGCAGCTCCTGCTTCTCCTTGTTGACCTCCTCCAGCTGTGCCTGGAGGTCATTCATCTGTGCCAGGTCTCGGGATGCCTGTGGGACACACCGAGGCCGTCAACAGGGATCCCACTGTGCTGGCTCCAAGAGGGGTGTTTTGGGGGGGTGGAGTGGGCACAGCTGCTGCTCTCCCTTACCTGGGCTACAGCTGCCTTGTGCTTCTTCATCAGCTCATTCATGTCCTCCTGGTCCTCCTCCAGCCGACTCTGCACCTCATTCTTTTCCCGCTGCAGTCGGCTCAGCTGCTCCTCCAGCTGCAGGGAGCAACACCTGTCTCCTGCTGCAGCGCAGGAGTGGGGCACTCACCCCCCCAAAGCACCCCAAACAGCATGGGGTCACCCTGCTGGCACCCTGGGAGCAAGTGGGGCATGGCCCCACCACGGCGCATCACACTCCAAAACCACTCACCGCTGCCTTGGCCTTGGAGAGGTCGTCGATCTGCAGATGGAGGTCCTCGATCTCCACTTCCATGGATTTGCGGGCCTTGACAGCAGCTGCGCAGGTGAACTCCGACTCCTCCAGCTGCAGGGATAAAGCTCAGCACCTGTCCAGAGGACAGGGACACCCCGTGTCCCTAAAAGGCTGTGGTTTGGAGGGGTATGGATGCACACCTGGTTCTTGAGCTGGGTGATCTCCCTCTTGCTGGGTGCGTTGTTCTTCAGGTGGTCCAGCATGATCTGAGCATCAGCCAGCAGTGCCTTCGTTCTCTTCAGGTCCCGGCGCAGGCGCTTTTCTGTCTCGAAGTCCCGCTGGTTTGCCTGTGGCAGGGGGCACCATGCCAGGGCTCTGTGCTGCAGGGGTGCCCACTCACTATGGCCACCTCAGGGTCCCCAAAGCAAGGCACGTGCCCAGCTGCCCTTCACCCCACCTGCTCGCTGACAGCAGATAACTTGCTCTCCAGCTCCCGTTTCTCTCTCAGCACCTTCTGCTTGTCCTCATACTCCTCTTCCAGCTGCACTTCCATCTGCTTCAACTGTGGGACAGACAGGGGGCAGCTGGTCAGGGAGGCAGGGAGGGGTCATGACCCCCCTCCTTGCATGTCCCCACACACTGGGGACACTGGGTGACCCCACCGGACGAGTGTTTGCGCAACCAGAGGCACAAAGCCTGGCGTGCGCTGGCCCGGGCGGCAGAAGGACTGGTCGGACCCGCCGGGCTGGTGGAGCCGGGCTGTGGTCGGCTGCGTGGGAGCAGGGTGCTGCGTGACGGTGCCCAGCTGGCAGCTCCCGGCACCCAGCCGGGGCATGGGGAGGCAACCCAGGCCCTCCTGGGCAGAGGGGCTGCAGCTGAGCCCTACCTTCTTCTGGCACGACTGCCGGATCTCCTCCACCTCCTCGTCACGGCTCTCCACCTCCTTGGCGTGGGTCTGCCGCAGCCGCTCCATCTCCATCTCCAGCCGCAGCTTCGCCTACAAATGGTGGGGATGTGGTCAGAGTAAAGGGGATGTGGGGACCCCCCCATGCCACTCCCCAGGCACCACTCACACAGAAAATGCCCCGGTCCGAGGCCGGCCGGGTCGCTCGCCCCATGGTGACCTGCCAGGCCATGGCACGGAGGGCCAGGAGCCGTGTCAGCCCAACACCGGGCTCAGAGCGACCGCCTCCTCTTCCTGGGCAAGCCCGGCCCAGGTAATAACAGCCCTGCATGAAACCACCCCACCCAGAAACCTTGCCCCTCCCCGCCGTACCTGCTCCAGCATCTGGATGGTCCCAGCCTGCTCATCCAGTTCCTCCTCCTGGTCTTTGACCTTCGCCTCCAGGTCCCTCAGCTGTTTCTTCACCTTGGCTAGGGAGGCTTCGTCCTTTGACTCCTGGGAGGAGATGTCCTGCAGCTCTGCCTCCAGTGCCTCCGCCTTCTGCGTCAGCCCTGCGATGTCCGAGTCCTTGTCCTGTGAGAGACAGGGTCACCATGACCCTGGGGCACCTGGTGACTGGGGGACTGGGTCGGGGGCTGGGATCCACTCACCTCCAGCAGCTGCTTGAGGCCGAAGACCTCGGCCACCAGCACATCCTTCTCACGACTCAGCTTCTCCCGCTGCAGCCGTTCCCTCTGTGCCTCCTCATGTGCCTGAGAGAGCTCGCTGTCAAACCTACATGGGGAGAGCAGGGCAAACACTCAGCACCCCGGGGGCCAGTCCTCAGCCCTGTGCTAGGGACACTGTACCAAGCATCCCCTTCCCATGGCAGCTGGCTTTGGGAAGGGCAGAATGGCGTCCAGTGTTTGTTTGAAACAGCCTGTTGATGAGCCTTTAATTGCTAGCAGGGTGGCACGAGTCACTCCGAGAAACTCCTCCCGATGCCTTTACTCAGTGCTAATGAAGAGCACAGTGCCGACCCCGGCAGAACCATCAGCTGCTCTGTGGGGCCAGCAGTGGCTGCTAACGGCAGGGGCTTGATACACCGAGGCAGCCAGGGACACCAAACCCCCCAAGCAGGACTCAGAGGGGCTTCAGGACATTGAGGGCTCTCCAGGAGAGACAGGATCTTGCGGCAGCGCAGCTCCCCCAGCTGCATCCCAGTGCCACGGCCCCACGTGGGATGGCACAGGTCCCATCCCCAGAGCGGACACGAGCCCCTGGAGGGGACACAAACCCCTGGTGGGGGAGTGCTCAGCGCAGCCTGTAGCCAGGAAGTGCCGTGGCAGCTCTCCCAGTGCCCCTGGGATGGGATCAGCCGGGTTTGCTCCGAAATCACTGCCTTTGGGGCTTGGAAAACAACCCTACGCTTGAGTTTGTGACCTGAGTTAAACACCTCGGCAGCTAATCCCCGTTTTTCCTCGCACTGGGTAATAAACAGCTGCATTAGCACAGACACCAATCCACGGAAATTGAAATTAATTAGATTGGATTCTCTCGCTGTATTTGTGTGTGTGATCATTACCATAATGAGATGAAAGCGTCCCTGCTGCTTAATAACGTTAGCAAACTTTGGGGCTGGGAGCGGGGACGGGGTGGCAGCGCACGCCGAGCCGAGATGCAGGGCACCAGCAGCCTCCACCGTGGGGCACGCCCCCATGGAGGGGGGATCACTCAGCACCAGGTCCCCCAAAAGGGTATGAGGGACCCCCTCACAACTAACACATCCAACCTTGGCAACTCCATCCTGCTGGAGACACCCCAGCCAAGGAGGAGCTGGTGAAGTGCCCAAATCCCTGCTAAAATGGTAATGCCACTTCGCCAGGGGCTTGCTGCGCAGCAAGGATGACCTTCTGGCTCCAGCGTGCAGTCCCCACCTTCTCTGCTTCTTCTCCAGGTCATGGTTGCGTCCCTGCTGTCCCTCGAGGTGCAGCTTGGTGTCCTGTAGCTCAGCAGCCAGGCGCTGGCACTTCTTCTTCAGCTGCTGCAGCGCGCGCTGGCTCTCCTCGCTGTCTGCTTGCAGGTCGGCCAGCTGCAGGCAGGAGCAGGCAGGGAGGTGTGAGGGCTCTGGGATCCCACCACATCCTTGATGTCCTGGCCATGGGCTCCCTCAGCTCCGAGCAGCCCACCCCATGCTGAGGGCACCAGGGGTTCCCCAGGGCTGAGCTCCACTCACCTTCCGCTCCAGCTGCCTCTTGCCCTGCTGCTCCACCTCCAGCTTGTCCTCCAGTTCCTGCTGCATCCGTTTCTTGGTGAAGTCGATCTCCCGCACTGCCCGCTCGTATTTCAGCCGCCATTCGCCGCCTGTGCAGAGAAATGGGGTCACCAAGGGGCTGTGGGGGTGGTGTGGGGCCACTGTGGAGAGGAGGACACTCAGTGTGTGCCAGCAGCCAGCACAGGAGGCAGGACAGTACCTGAATCATCATCATCGAGCTCCCCGTTGAGCTCGGCCGCTCGGATGAGCCGAGCCTCCATCACCTCCATCTCCATTGACTCCATCTGCTTCTTCAGGGCATCGTACTTTGCCTGGGAGGGAACATGGCTTTTGTGAGTGCTGGGGGTAGGGGACAGGAAACGCTGTGAGGCCAGGGAGAGGTGCTTTTACCTGCAGGTCCTTCATCTCCTTCTCAGCCCGCAGCCTCTCGGCTGTCTCGGCGTCCAGCAGCTGGGAGGCTGACTCGCCGGTGTTCCGCTCGTCCGTCAGCTCCGATGTCAGCTCTGTGATCTGGGGGCAGCAGGAAAAACGGGATCATGGGCTGGGGCAGGCCAGAAGAGCACCATACCCCATCTTGGCACCAGCAAGGACCTACCCTGCTCTCCAGGCGGTCGCTGTTGAGCCTCAGCTCGTTACGCTCCTTCTCCACCTTCTCGAGTTTGCTCTTCAGCTGCTGGATCTCTTCCTGCAACAGAGCGGGCGGTGAGGGAGGGGGCAGGCGCAGGGAAGAGGTTGGTGGGCAGGAGCTTGGCAGTTCTCCGCCCCCCACAGCACCCCCCCAACGCAGGATGGGCAGGGTGGGGGCTCCCCGAGGCCGCTCTCCCCTGCCAAGGGCTGGGCAGGGACTTTCCCCAACCCGCTCCTCTGCCGAGCTGACTCCAACCCCATAAATGGTGTCGAAACACCAGGCAGTCCCAGAAAAGCTGGAGAGGGGTCCCCCCATCCCCTCGGAGGGGGGTGGGAGCAAACCCACTCATCGACAGCTCACTGAAGGATTTGGGTGCACCCAGCCCAGGTGAGGATAGAAGGGGCCCACCAGGATGCCTGGGGCCCATCAGCCAATTCTGGGGAGGTGTGTCTGGCTGCCAGTATCTTCCTCTTCCCTCCTCTGGTCCTAGTACAGGCTGGAAGGGGGCAGG